TGTGAGAAATGCTATCATAGTATCATGTTCTTTTCCCGCTGTGTTTCCCGAAATAATTAATCGGAGCAACTTTTTTTCTGTTTGGGGTACAAGGATTTGGACATTTAAAAAGCTTTGTTTTATGTAAGCCCAACGCAAACCCAAACCCAAACCCAACCACCTCATACGGCCTATTGGGCCGGACATGAGGTTGCATTCCAGTTTCTTGTCGTCCAAAGCAAAGTTTGCATCGTGCGGGCTTAATGCAGGGTATTTCTACAGTCTATTATCTTTTTTTTTTTTTTTACCAGAATTTCTGCGGCGTATTATCAAAGAGTTGAAAAATATGGATATGTCATTATGTCGCAATGTCAGGCCGAAACACTGGACTGGACCATTGAGAAGCAGAACGCTGATATACTTTGAATTTCTGATTTCGCTTGCTCCTTTTATTCTTATGTCATGCGAAGCATGAAACTTGTCACGTTATTCATTATTGATGACTGACAAATAATGTATTAGTAAATAAAACTAGTGTATTTTACTATAAATTATGAAATATATGTTGATATAGTGACGGAGCATGCGGATGATGATGATAAATCAATATTGATCAGTGAATTTAATATACGAGAAATTATCGCTTAAAAATTATTGTTACTTCGAAAAAGTTCTTGTGCCTGGCGCGGCGGCCAAGAGGAAAATTTCAAAACTGTTTCTTGAAAGAAATAAATTGTGTAACCATAATCGGACACATAAGGGTATGGGAATACATATATGGTTTATTTAATAGAATACATACAACTCTGAGGACTTTAATAATGAAAAGGAGACGAATAAACAAGTGTTGGTGGTGAGTGTCCATTTCATTAAATAAAGAAAGCAAGGAGGAGGTGATGTGAAATATAAGGGGGGAGGGAGAGAGACAGAAAAGTAAAAAATACTTTATTCAATCAGTCTACAATAAAAAAAACATAGGGCTAATTATAGAGTCAAAGAGATATTAAAAATAATAATTATATTCAAGCCCTAATCTAATTTTAAAAGAATAAGATAATAATGACAATGAAGAAAATCTTATGATAATATATGAGAATAACTTGAATATACTGAGACACCATATTTTATTGAGATAATGCATAATATTAAAAAGTAAAAAGAAAAACAAATTATATATATAAAAAAATCATGTAGGTAATATTGTCCATAGGAACGATCTATTGGCATGCATATACCCATTTTGTTCACTAATGTCCCTCTCCGTCATTGCTCAGAAAAGACGAAATGGTTGAGGCCCTGGGCTGACTTGAAGGCTTCAATCAAGCCTCAATCATCTGTTTATTTTATTTGATTGAATTAATTAATAAATATATACTGTAACTCCATCGTCATGGCAATGAGACATCAAAATGGATTAAAAAATCTCTTATTTTTGTTGTTATGCTTCGAAGCTGTTTGCCAACTGTTTTCTCTCGCCAAGGGATCATTCGCAGCATGATTTGGAGGCTAACTGTATCAATTTATTCCTGTGATTTATTTTTCTACGCATTATTATATTCATTATCCACTAGAAATTAGAAAGGACACAGGTCATCATCCTCAATCTGTCTTCTTGCTGCCTGTTGAGAATGTTCAAAATATATACATATATACAGCGCACGTTATACCATTTTTATTTTTCTCAGTTCGTATTTTTTCAACACCTCATTCTTTCACCATGAAGCTTAATATCTAATTCTTGTGTTTGATTGAAATGCATGAATTTGAATTTAAGCAGATATATCACATATCTAATATGCTGATATGGGATCAATAAGTTAATGTATAAAGAAAAACACGGGCGTGAACAGCAGGAAATTCCACTGTTTTCCGGTCTTGTTGATAGATGACGAGCGGCACGCAATTATAAATAAAGAAGCAAGAGTGCCCTTTTTTTTGTTGTTTCTGAAATAATGGTTTGAAATTTGTAGGTAAGGGTGGAGCCCGAGGGGCCTAATGTCGACAAATGAAGTATCAACATCAAATCAACCTGGAGATTTATGTTAGAAAAGTAAAAACATTAATTTAACGAGGATTAAAAAACTGAGGCCTTATTATGCCTACCCCCAAAAGAAAAAAGGGCGGGGGGGAGGAAAGTCAAGATTAAAAATTCTTTAAGTTGAATCGTGCAACTACTCCTCGCGATTGTTCCTGACTCGCCAAGTTTTTGCCTACTCTCACTTGTCCTTTCAACTTTCGACCTTCCTGTCTCATGCCTTCACACCCACAGCTATAGTACATTCGGTCTTCCTATAATAGCTATGCACAATTATTTGATGTCATTATCTCAGTGAAATTGTGTTTAATCTGTTAAGCACATGTAATTTAAATTATAAACAGTTGAAGACGATGGAGATCGAGAGAGGCTGTGTATTAATTAGCCTAGCTAGAGCTAGCTAGCTAGTCTTTTATTTATTGCGTCGGTAGCGATGATAAGGAGAGGTTGATTTGCATAAAACAAAGGTTAAGCTATTCATCAAAGTAAGTGAATATGAGAATGTGCTACTTTATTCATAGGGTTGACTTCTTAAAAATCAATATCATGTCATCACTATGTAATTTATAACAAAATGTGTAGTACTAGCTAGTCGTAAATAATGTGTTTTATTTATTAGATTTTGCGCAATATATGTGTAAAACATGGCTAGTTTTATCCCCGAGTGCATATATAGATATTTTGACAGGACCTTGAAATATTCCAGCCGGTAAATCTGTTGCTCAAATGTTCTCATTAAAAATATTTGTGGGGAGCTGGGAGCATAATATGTTCCGCTGTCAAAACATATATATGAAGTACCGACCAGTAACTCATCGTGCGAATACTCTATCCTAGAATATTGTAACACTTATAGAAGATTTTTTTCCCACTACGGATGCATTCTTATTTTTATGCAGAGCTAAATAATGGAGAAAAGAAGATGGATCATAATTCGTCCTGTAACTCAAATTATATCATTATTTTATAGCACTATTAAATTATTTACATAATTAATTGAGAATATGCCGCGACTTACTTGCGTTCTCACACTTTTTTCCCCTTTATTTTTGTCTTGGGTTCACTCACCTTACGCCTTCCGAGAATCAGAGAATAACTTCGTTTTTTGTGCCAAGAGAATAACTTCGTTTTTTGCTGAAGTAGCAGTGAATAGTGATGCAAGAATTTCAGGTTCAAATAAATTAAAATAGATCCGGATATGGCGACACAAAAAAGGAAGAATTTCAATAAATTCCATGAGTAGCTAATTAATATCAGTTAATTCTAAAAAAAATTTACTACAGTTCATTGACCAAAATTTTTCCAGTGAGAAGATAGAAGTACCTTACTCTGTTTGAGTTATAAATAACTAAATTGTTACTATAAATAGTCAAATTTAAGTTGTAAATCTTATAAATTTTATGAGTAAATGAATGAACAACTCAAATTTGACAATTTATCAAAAAAAATTTACTATTTGCAACAAGAATTCGACAATTTGCAACATAAATTCAATGATTTGCAACTTAACTAGGGTGAGAGTGTTTCTGTCTTCTCACACAAAAAATCTTGACCGAAAGGGTGCAGTGAAATTTTAAAATTTTTTAGAGATTGACTGATATTAATTGACTGCTGAGGAGATCTACTAAAATTTTACTCACAAAATATGAAAATTTCCAGAACTTATGAATAGTGGCAATCCATATACTACTTTTTAAATGCTAATTGGTTCAAATTAAATTGAAGATAAAAATAAATAAAACCAAAAAGAGAATTAACTGAAGTCAGATTTATGAAAATGCAATTAATTCATTTGACACGCGTCCACTTGTGCGTGTGCGCGTGAGACAGAGAGAGGGGTGACTTGCATGAATGAGAATGACCATTGGATAGCAGCCTCCGCCATGCATATGGGCCAAATTAAGCTCCCTTTTAAGCTTGCATGATGGTTCCCCTCCTATTTCTTAGTATTTTCTGAAGGCTCCAGATTTTGCTTTCTTCATCAGCACCTGAAGTTCCTTGAATCAATTCCCATTTCTTCATGACCATTATGGTTCTTTGACAAATTAAAAACATATTCATATACATACTTGTACGGCTCTTAATTCACTCGTGATTGGACACCTACTGTCCGGCTAATAGAAATTGAGATCGCCTTAAAGTATAAAGTTTCTGTGCCTTTTTCTAAAAGCTATAAATGCACCTAGAGATTTAAAAATTTGGACCTCAGTTTATCCTCTGGATAAAATAGTTAACCACACTGTGCCTGGGATTTCTCCCTCGATTAATTCCTCCCCCCCTCTCTCACACCCAATGAAATTGTTTCGTATACAAGTAAAGAAGAAAAATCTGGAATTGATTAGATTTGGCAGTATTTCTAGATCAGTTTCAATCTTAAAATTCAATTCCTTTATAGAGGAAGGAAGGAATTAACGTGGTGAAGAGACAAAACGCAGATGGTTAATGTGTTGATCCGATCCGGTGGATTCTAAATGAGAGAATACCAAATAAATTGAAAATACCTTTAAATTAATGATTCGTTGTTTCTGGTTGGAGTCACATGAGAATGTGATGGACTCCTTCCTAAATACTTAATGCATATATAAGACACAAAGAAAGCTATAACAGAAAGAAGCCACATATCTGATGCCTCCATCGCTAAAGCCGAGCAAGTCACGGCCAAAACGTCAAACCACCTTTCCAACTTTCCACAGGCTTCTGCCCCCGCGGCTTCAGAAGAACTTTGTGAAAGTTACGCTTCAAAACCCCATGCTTTTCAGTGATAGACTTAATTAGTCATCAACGATACGATATATCTAATTGCCCTTCTCGAAGTTAGAAGAGGGAAAGAGAAATTAAGAGATTATCGGGTTAATGACATAACGGGTTCATTCCAATGTCGCGCGCGCGCGCGCGCGCGCGTGTGTATGGAGGTATAATACAGAAAGACAAACTGCACTCACTTGTGTATGAATATCAGCAAGGATATTCCTGGGCAGAAGAGCACTGACATATATGCACTTGGATAAATAAATTAGGAGTCTTATTAATTATAGCATACCCAGGGGGGCAGAAGAAAAGGGAAATTAAACAGGCCGGTCAGAATGAAGATGTTGTTTTCAAATAATGAAGCAAATATTGCAAAATGAAGCAGCTGAAATAAAGATAAAACTAGCTAGCTAGAAGGAAAACAAACAAAACTCTGAGGGATGGAAAAGCAGTGAACTCTAAGCTGATATTCCGGTACAGATTTACAGCACCCCCTTCATAGAGAACTGCTATTGCACTCCATAGTAAGTAGACTCCTCGAAACAAGCGATATCGTGAGGCGTTCCTTGTTGGACACTTTCGTATCCAGAAATCAGAGGAGAGTAAACCTGCAGATGAGAGGTGATATCACCCCAGCTAGTGCTTTCTGTTGAAGCTGCACCGCTGCTACCCATTCCATAGTAACCCTGCAACGCTGCATCTAGTTGCTGTTGCGGCCTCATACCCACCAACTCACTCCAGTAATCATCAGTGAAGCTTTCAAAGCCTTCGAGAATGTTCGACGACGACTGACAACTGCCGCTGCTACTATTATTCGCCAGCGGTGCCGTTGCTGAATTTATTGAGGTTGGGTATAGTTGCTGTTCTAGTTGATGGAGAAGTGGGTAGTGGGAATTTATGGTATGGGAAAGTGTGTCTGAGTATGATTGCTGGTGATTCTGTGAGAATGTTCCCTCTGCTTTGTTTGGCAAGCTGCCATGGTTGGGATCATGATACTGTTGGGCGGAAACAGATGTTGGAACGCACAGGAGGGCTGGCCAGGTGGGATTTTGGGTCACAGGTGTCACCAAATTTTCAGTTTCGTTCTTCATGACTAGGTTTGGACGAGCCTGGGCCTGCTGCTCCTTTCGCTGCTTACCCAGCAGCTTCTTCCTCAACCTAGTGTTCCAGTAGTTCTTTATATCATTATCTGTTCTCCCTCGTAATTGCGATGCTATTATTGACCACCTGCACAGTTTTGTATCTATTATTGTAAATAAGCAGTTAAGGTGGTGGAGCCTTGGATCCCATAATTGTGTCCATAATTAATTACTCACCTGCTTCCAATAGTAAGATAGAGGCTGCAGATTATGTTGTCTTCTTCCTCGGAGAAACCGCCATGCTTGATGTTTGGGCGAAGATAATTCAACCATCGTAGGCGACAGCTTTTCCCACATCTCTTAAGGCCTATAGGACTCGCGCGCATGGACAATAATCGAAGAATCAGAATTACACATGTGTTTGAGGATTTGATGATGGAAAAGGCAGTTGAAATTAAAGAAGTCTAGAAACATGAATAATCCACAGATGTATACCTATCTTTTGGGGCAAGGCAATCCAGTTGCCGCCGGTGCCCTGCTGCTCAATATAGGCCTTGAGCTTGGCGTCTTCCTCTGGAGACCATGGGCCTTTCTTCACGTTGGCTTTGTCACAGCAAGGAGCCCTCCCCATGTTTCCTCCTCTACTTCGACTTCCCGTGTAAGTTTCAATTCCAAGACTCTAAATCTTTGTTGTTACGATTTGAGGGTAGGTATATAATGATAAAGATAACAGTGGATGCTTTATATAAAGGGGTGAGAGAGAGAAAGAGAGAAATAGCCTGGAGAAGAAGAGACAGAGAAGGGTGTAGGGGAGGAGAGGTTTGAAAAGGCAAAGTCAGTGAGAAAGAAAAGGGAAGAAGAAGCTTTATATTGAATAAAATAATGGATAAAATTGAAAATGGCAGGGGCAGTAGACGACCCATGTTGTTCTCATTGTCTCTCTTACTCTAGAATGAATCTCTTTCATTTATTCTCTTCATCCACCCCTACACATCCCATTCTCATTATTTTATGAAATAGCGGTCTGCTCTGTAGCGAAGAATTATTGGTGTGGAAGGTTGGATGATGAATGATGATGATAATCATATATCATGCGTGGAGGGCGGGACCAATCAATGATAGTACAAATTAAAGTTAAAGAGATCCCCTGCACACTTCGTGTTAATTTTTTTGTTGAACCGTTCCCTTCCTTCATCATCAGAACACATCATTATATGCCTTTCCCAGGGAATCATTCTTCCACGCCCCTGAGCTTTCATACGTCCTTTGTCCTCTTCCAATAATTTTTTAATCACTATGCGTCATATAATTCTCTCAACATTCATACTCTGAATGATCCAGTCCAACACGGTTTTGCTGATCTGAATGAAATGGAAGACAGTTCCTCATGAAACAGAGCATCCAGAAAACAAATAAATAGGGAGGGGAAAGCTGGAAGAATCACTAGCTTTAACCATTTGATTAATATTAGGACGGCATGATTTTCCTAATGGTAGGTATATATCCACCAAACAGCCCCTAATTTTTACTGATGTTTGTGTGTGGGTGTGTTCCGAAATATGATATCGATCCCCGATGAGAAACATATATGCATGGCTCTGAATCTTGAAAATTAAGCAAAAGAGGCATGAAAGTAATATAGAAACGATGTATTAAATTTGTCTAAACAGCGGATCAATCTAAATACCTGAGGCGGAAAGATAATGCGGAGTTATTTATATAATATATATCACATGCCACTAGGTGTCCTATCATTTCACCCTTTTTCCAACGCAAGAAGACAAACTGAAATTTAAAAAACAAATAAACGGAAGACAGACCTCACTATCACATCCATATTACGTTAGGGATTTAGATTTTTTTTTTGAAGTGGCTTCTTTTTAGTAAAGTAAGTATAAAAAGCATACCTCACGAGTCTCAGTTATGGTTATTGTCTTTCAAACTTACTGAATTAATTTCTGTCCAAACTCATAGGGATCATAACTCAGCCTGGAAAATGATGATCAAGAGTAGAAATAATGTCTGATAATTTAATGTTGTGTTATAAATATACTTGGTTTATGATATTATAAGCTCAGGAACAGCATATTCCTTAATCAAGATGTTAAGATTATTAAATATGGAGCAATGGTTTATTACGTAATTATTAAGTTCATAAGATAATATTAACTTATTCGAGAACTAATAAATCTAAAAAGAAAATATAATATCATGGCACTCAAATTTAATGATTATTTAAATAAGAATTAATTGATAAAATATATATTTTCTCAATCGTCTGCAGCCAATGTATACTAAAAAATGACAATTGAACTTTCAAAATACAGAGAAAGGCCCCACTAGTTTCAAGGATAAACTCGGGCACATATCGGGCACATCCTCAACGAATAAAGGAAAATAGATTAGACTTGTGAATTTTTTGTTTTTTGACCTGATGAGAGTACATGGAAGTTGATTGATTGCAAGTAAAAGTCTCTTTTGTTCTAATTAAATAAAAGGGGGGCTTTGTATCCATGAGTGGGTTTGGCTCCAACTAAAAAGCCGTGTGTTGGAGAAAAGGAGGAGAAGAAAGGGGATTGTTAATTAATATCTTAAGACGACTATACGAACAACTTGTGTTGTCTACGGTGCAGCATTACACGGCTTTATACGCCATCTACTTTTACCCCTCCCATAAATACATCACAATCAAAAGCCCTGTCCGATTCCTCCTCCAACGATGATGTCGGTCCAACGATGCTGAGTAATTATTTTTTTTCTTCATCTAATTTTAATCACTTCTCTTGGGCAAACGAATAAATAGGATGTACTACTTCCAGTCCTTACTATAATATCTCTTTTGGATTTTATTTTGATTCCAAATATAAGACTCTAATCTATTTTGTCTCTCATATTTATTTATTTTTTTCAAAATAGTCTTTATAATAATGGTAGTTTTGACCAATACACTTGATTAATAAGGATATTTTAGAAAAAATAGTATATTTATTATAAATAATTAACTTAACTAATTTTTTTAACCTACTCAAATTAATCAACTAGAGCTTATATTTAGAACTAGTATTATAAATAGGAATACTTGCTGTTAAAAAGCCAGTTTGATTATATTTCTCTCCCTTCATTCAAATCAGCTGGAGATAGAGAAGCGAGAGAGAGAGAGAGAGCTACATCAGTTTGCAACGGTGAATGTAAGGGCGAGTCAAGGTAGGCTACCATGTCGTACCACTCTTTTCCACAATGAATTAATTACGGTTAATTTTTTTCCAGCAGAGAGAAAAATGGGAAGAAAGAGAAGACTTTCACTAGAGTGGGTATGTTTTTCCAAGTTCTTTTCTTCCGCACGTAATCGTGGACCCGATACGTTTGAAACAATCTTTTTGACATTGTCAAGGAGCTTCTTTTACTATGCGGACATCTATTTGGCCAACCATTTTCTTTCTTTCTTTCCTTTTGAAATCTTCAAACTCGACGCCACCTACGGCATCCTGCTGTTACCCACATTCTGAAACACACAGAATCGATCAGCAGAATTTGCCTATATATGGACGTGAAGTAGTTATCCCTCCGTTTATATGAAGACAGAGTATAATATGTAGCAGTTATCAGAATGGTCCTAACACGACTGTAAAAAAGATCCCCATGAAACGAAACTTTGCACATCTAGTTACCTTCAAATTAGGATTTACACTGGGTGCTCATCAGTTTTGATGAACACCCAATATTCATTAGATCTGGACGGTTCATATTTATTTTTATTTTTATTTTTTAAAAAATAATTATTTCAATAGGTATAGGATAAAAAATAAAAATAATCTCTTAACTATCATTTTTTAAAAATATAATTTTTTCTATTTTAAAATAATTATTTAATAATATTAAATATTGACCGTCCAGATTACTCATCAGGTGATGAGCATTGGGTGCTCATCAACTAATGAGCATCGAATGGGGACCCCTCAAATTATGCGCTACAGTACTGATGTTAATAAATTAATGTGAATCTCTTTGTTTATGTAGGATTTAAGCGAGTATATATATATTTTTGCCATTTCCGTTTCACATTACTGCAATATGACTTCCAAGTTCTGCTTCATTTTAGTCCGGGACGGCTGTCCTCGCCAATCTCTAATTCCTGCGACTTCAGTTAAATTTCTGGAACACGCATTGCCCGAAGACTATGATTAGAGGATGTGTGCTGTGGCAGCGGTGGAGTTCATCAAGGCCTTTCATCAGGGGCCCAAAAAAAAATCATAATAATTCTTTTATTTCATTATACAATTATGTTAACAATACTTTTTTATTTTTATATCAATTAAATTTAATAACACCGACTTACTAATTAATAAGATTAGGGTATAGCCACAAAATTAAGAAATATATTCAAATTTATATGATATGTGTGCTGTGCTATGTATTACCTAATTTCATCAATTTCCGAATATAGACAGTAATTTACCGCATGGTTTTTTTGCATGCATTAGATCATCGAGGCCGGGTAGCTTGTCCCTGCTTGACTTAGTTGTGGTGCGTCTGACTAGGTTTTGTCCGAATCAGCTATTGTAGACTATGAAAGACCGCATCTTTCTTTTTACCAGTCAACTATCACATCGCTTCCATTTCCAAGCAACACAACTCGGTCAACAATCTATTCCGCAAGGCCATGTGTGAATTTGACAAATAATCATGTGCAGAAAGCAGAAACTTGCGTATTAGGCATGTAGACTCCTATTGAGTCAATTAGTGCTCTCAAGCTTGGCAACTTGGTAGTACAAAAACCCAACTTGGTAATAATATCAGATCAACTCATAAGGTCCCAAAAAAAAAAAAAAAGCAACTCGTGAAAATAATGCCTGTGGCGTCTCTCTAGGCTTGACAGTAAATTTGAGGACTGGGCGGGGATGCCACGCACGAACAATTGGCACATCACAGATTGTAGCTCCTTGGGTTGTAACTAATATTTTAGGTGGCGGTACTTTTTCTGCTTTGACTCTTACAACCAGGATGTTATGTGACATGACAGAGAAGAGTGTGTCAGCGACCTGGAATTTTGGCTTTAATTGACTGAAACAGAAGTACACGATAGATACTTTCTAAGAAGAAAGGCACAGAATCCGTTGTGTAAAAGATCCGCTTTCCTTTTTGCCATGGGAGGGTCGGTAATCATGGACGCGCTTTCTCCCTTCTCATGGCTGCTTTTCCGGAAGCTTAAAAGCTTGCAATTTTTTAAAGGGGGGCAACAATGGAGGGGAGCTCAGGTCAAAAGGGATATGGATACGGATAAGATAGGGCAAAGATTCAGATATCAGATTTTGAAGTACAGAACAAAAGGCAAACGTTGCGTGCTGATAGAAATTCTTTCCTCGTTGTTAGTGGCAATAATATGAACCTAATTACTACGTAGGAAGAAAATTGGAAATATGCGGGTGCGTTTTCTAGATCATATAGGTCAAGGAACGGGACCCAGTATACTTTTATATTTGATATCAGAACAACTTCAAGCGACCGTCAATTAAAGCCAATTCCGGTGACTGGCGAAGTCAAACGTGGGTGTCCAATCCTTCCAATGTGGACCCCTATGCTACCATTTTATTATTAGCGGTTGCCGTTCTGCACAGTTCATGGTCAAGACCCTGGAAGCTCTTAGATTGGATAGAGGAGATGAAGAGTGTAAGAAACATATTCTAAACCATATGGGGCATTTAAATAATGACAGTTACATAGATGAATGAGTTTTCTAATTTGGCAAGAAAACAGTGAAATTGATGACAGAAATAAAAAGGTACTATGAATAGAACAATATGCAAAACGGTCTCCTAGCACGATGTTATGATCCAATTGCTTTTGGAAGTCCCTATGAGACACTGGCTCCAACCATGATCACCTTCAAATCTGCTGCTCATGAAGTCACATTTCGAAACCAAGCCCTATGGGCTTCCTGAACTGCCGCCACAGACGACACTGAGGATCAAGATAGACCGGGGATAAGACAGACCTCAAGGGCACGTGCGGTAGCCGTCACTTATTAAATTAATTAAATTAATTAATTCTGGCCAACGGATGTCATTTAAGTTGATTTGCTGGAAAACGAACTATTTTAAGTCAATGGGTTTTTCGATATTCCTCGACTAGCACGCCCTCATTATCTGCCCTGCTATCACCTCCGGCATTACACGGCTGTTCTTTCTACTATAAATAAATTGATGACAAGAATTCACTAATTGAATGATAAATCCTAAAGCACCCAAGAAAACAAACAACATAGATTGATTCCCACGCGTTCGATGTAGTCATGCAATCCCCCTAGCAGATCATCAGATGTGAAACCAAAAGCTGCCCGCTTCCAAAGATCCCAGATTGTGGATTTGACAACCATACATTGCATGATATTGTTTGCCAGTGCGCCTATCTCAGCTCAACAGTCCAGTTCATCTTATCCTCTATAAGACCCATCTGCAATCTTGTAAGAACAGTGTAAAGCTGCTGCGACACTGCTCCAATGCCATTATCTCCATAGGATACCCTACAAAATTTCAGTCGATTATTGCTTCCAATTTCTTTCGTGAGGAAAATTAACCCAAGCAATATCACAATTTTGAATTTTTCCTCTTTTGCTACGTCTACAATCATATTTTGCTACCAATGGTTACTGTTGCTATCATATAAACTAGAGTTTCAGGAAAAGCTGAATATCGATGAGTTATGAGAGCCCCTGAATATGGGAGTTAGTATGTGTAGCCTGGGTGAGTGGCCAAATTTTTGTAGCTATAAGCTCCCACCTCTTGCCAAGATGAGTGATACTGCCCACAGGTGATACAACAACAGCTGTCCCTGTGCAGAAGACCTCATCAGCATCAAGCAGTTCATCCACTGACACTGATCGCTCCTCTACCTGTACATATTAGATGAATATAGGGAAATGATTAGTACATGTATGCGCTCGTGATTACAGCCAGTATTAATAATTAACAAACAGTTCTGTAGCCAAAATCTAAAATTTAGACGGCAAACATATTAAGTTTTTTTCTGGAACAATCCATAGATTGCTAATGCAGTACCATTTCGAAGGTCACAGAAAATGCATTAACGATCTTTAGGAAACAAAAATATATGGAAGACATCGAAGCCACAAAAAAAAAAAAAAGCCCTACTAGAACCTAATATATGTGAAGGAATCAAGGAACTACTTCAAAGGTTGGAAATACTATTGTGTACCTGATGGGGCCGTGGCTAATGGGCCAAGCCTAGGTGAAGAGCGTGTGAAGTTTGTGAGAGAGAGAGAGAGAAGGGGGAAGGGTGGGGGGCTCTGTGATGTATATATTTGGGTAGAGGGGTTTAGTGTGGGTTCAAGCAGATCGAGGTTTAGAGAGGGAGAGCTCTCTCGAATACCAGGTTGGGGTGGAGAAGTTCATCTTTCTTCATCATGTTTCCTCATATCTGTTAAACTTAAGTGTTGCTATATCATTTTCACCAGCCTATTTCATGTGTCTGTAGGCTTATTTCTGCTGTAAATCTCTTTCTACCAACCATTTGGAATATTTAGTATAAATTCAGTATTAGATTTTTATCATTTAGCTTGATCTCCATCAGTAATTAAAAGTCATTCATCACACGCATGATATTTGCAGACGTTGGATTTATAAACAGGTATCATGGCAACCGAGCTAAGACCCTCACCCTCACCAGGGTAATAGAGAAAGGACAAAGGTCATGCCAGGGTTGCATTACCTTGCTATATGCAACCTTCAAAATAGTCCTAGGGTAGAAATAATTTGCATTGCCGGAGACTTGAAGAAACTCCAGAGCCATTCTAAACGATTAATCGACATGAAACCCTAAAAAGGATGTATGAGGCGGGCAAGATTTAAATTTTCTCATCATGAATCTTTTTCCAGTCATAGGCCTAAAACATGATGCCTAGTAGCTTACACCCACCATTACATTATTGCTGATTCATCTGCCAAAGAGTAGCGACAAGCTTACTCGAAATAAAACACCATGATTTCTTTTCTTTTCTTTTTTTTTTTTGGGCCAACACCTTGAGTATTATATAAAGCAGATTTCGTTCATCAATTATCTTCAAAATTAAAACTTAAATACCTGGAACCCCTGGTTTCTAGCAACATCAATTATGCTTTTTCGAGTGATACCAGGTAGGATAGTCCCTTTGATAGCAGGAGTTGAAATAACTTTCCCCTGCAAGCACATGGAAGTAACACCAGTTCAATATAGTGTCAGAGAGGAATATATCATGTTCTCTTTTCTGGCTTATTAAAAAAGAGAAAAAAGGAATGTATTATGAAAAGGAGGAAAGACAAAAAATAGTTCTTTACAAGTAAAAAGGGGGAAAAAAAAAAACTGTTTGAGCGAAGATTAAGTGCTAAGCCGTTCGTCCAGTATAATACCTTAACAACAAAAATGTTGCAGGAAGAAACCTCCTCCAAATATCTTTTATGGACACAGTCAAGATATAATACATCAGAGTAGCCTTTGGCTTTTGCTGCAGATTGTGCCTTCAGAACCTTTAGAACATTTGCACAGACACGGAAAAAGTGCGGAAAATTGTAAGTATGCCAGGAGGAAAAAAATTGAGAAATCAAACAAAAATGACGTAATCCAAGAGAGTGTAATACCCGGTATAAATGTCAGTTCTAACTAATATAAGTAGGTGAACATTTTCTGTCACTTAAAACCCACCCCAAAGGAAAAGCGGCTTGAATATCAATACAAGAACTATTCAAATACCAAGATATTAGTAAGGGAAAACTTGCATCCCAACTCTCAGTGAACCAGAAAAAAAAAAAAAAAGAAAAAAAAAAGGGAAGGCATATAAGGGTAGCTTACCGCAGCATAGTTTCCAATCGTCTTCACACCCCCAGTACCTCCAGGAGTTGCACGATGTAATTCATTCTCAACAACCAAATTTATTGGTGCCACACCTTCCTGTTGTGATATTTATGCTCTCCATAAATGTTCAGGAAAAAACAATAGATACAAAGAATAATGATAACCAAACATGTGGTATTGCTAATAATAGTATATTAACAACAACAACAATAAAGCCTTATCCCACTAGGTAGGATTGGCTACATGGATCACACAACGCCACTAAGCCCCATCCAAAGCCAAATTTTTGAATAGGTTGTTAATTGAAAGATCTCTCTCAATAACTTCCTTAAGCGTTGTCTTCGGCCTTCCTCTACTCCTTTTTAGAGGACTCCATACTGTTTGCTCAATTCTTTTTACCGGCACATCCCAAGGCCTTCTTTGTATGTGACCAAACCATCTCAATCGGTTTTCTACTATTTTCTCCTCAATAGCAGCCACTCCAACTTTTCCTCTTATCTGTTCATGATGGATCTTGTCTTTTCTTATATAACCACACATCTATTTCAACATTCTCATTTTAGCAACTGCAACTATATGTTCATGTTGTCCCTCTAAAGCCCAACACTCACTGCTATATAGCATTGCCGGTCTTACAGCAGTGCTATAAAACTTTCCTTTGACCTTATTTGGTACTTTCTGATCACAGATAACTCATGTCGCTTTTCTCCATTTAAACTTGAATTCTATGATTAACATCTCCATCAATTTTCCCATCTTTTTGTATACTAATATAATAACTATTTTTGAACTGCAAAAGAAGCAGATTTAGAAAATACAACAAGCAGACACAACCCAACTTTATTTTTCTAATGGCAAAAGTGTATCAGTTAATTACTCAAAAAGTGACCAAAGGTACAAACTGAGATACAACTCAGAAGGCAGAAAAATAAGGAAAAGTGGAAACAAAGTAATTATCCCCCACCTCTAATCCAAGGTAATGGTCGATCAAAGGGCCAAAAGGCATCATTACAAAAATGAGAAAATTTGGTTAAGCTATCAACACTAACAAGCTTTCCTCTGTTAACCAGTTGAATATCTATAGACCAAGCTTTTACCAAGAGCAATTTTCCGTCATCCACGATCTCTTGGTAAGGATGCCAAAAACTTTATCCCTTGTTATCATATTCACAGCTCAACCACTGTCCTCACACAACCCAACTTCATTCAAGCTTGGTAAGCCCAAAAATTTGTAAAGAGAAGGAAAATGGTCAAACATTCATAACATTAGAACTACTACGAGCCTTCTTGATCTATGAAGAAGCTAAACTTCACTCATTCAATCACATCAACCAAACCACATAGAAGTTCATATTTCACTCCTGTTGCATTCAATATGTTTTTCTTCATATTATTCACAACTCCCTAGGCCCAAGCTTCAGAGTAAATCCTGAAGACATCTCTTTTCTCAGGTATTTTAATTCAAAACTTAATAAGGAAACAAACAAAACATTTTGTTTCATTGCGTGCAAATGGAAAGAAGATAGAAAAACTTATTCAAACAAAAGTAAAAGGGCTGTAATTTTGGACCAAAGGCTGCACTTGAATATAGAAATAAACCCTTGATAATATTATGCAAATAATTAAACCTCACCTTGAAGTAGTTTCCAACAGGGGAAACATATATTAGAAAGGTGTACTCTGGAGCAGGTGCAAGACCAAGTACAGCTCCACTTCCCATCAGCAATGGTCTGATATACAATGAACCTTTACCCGGAGGGGGGATCTGAAGCAAAATTTCACTAATGAATCTAGTGTGCTGCAAACTGGAAGACATGATGTGGAGATTAAGTTGTCATATAGTACCCAACGTTTGTTTGCTAAAACAGTAGTCTTTACAGCTTCCACAAACTGTTCTACCGTGGGTGATGGCATGCACATTCTCTCTGCACCCATCTTCATCCGCATAGCATTTTCCTCTGGACGAAAGAGTAGCAGGTTCCCATCTTGTTTGCGGTATGCTTTTAAACCTTCAAATAGTCCCTACATTTGTGTTGGCCCAAAATAAAAAGAGAACCCAAAATTTGTGAACAGATATGTTCTTAAAAGGAAATAAAACCTTACAAACTATTAGGAGTTGAAATTGACGAGGCAGTGTACACAACTTGTTATCTGCTCCACCAGAATCCTAAGACTTATTCTCACCAGTTCTAATTCAAATAAGAGGGAACTTTAACTTCATCATAATTGACCAATAAACACTAATGACGAACTCAGAGAACAGAATATCAGAAAACTAAACATATTTATCAGAAAGAAGTTCCAATATAGTAAACATTTAGCTCAAAAGCATAACTCAGAAGTTCCCATTAAACTATTGTTGGCTTTCACCGATGCCTAACCTTGATGTCTTCAAGGATGACAAAGTACTAAAGAACACGTAATCTAACCTGCCCATAATTTAAGACGCCTGCTGAGGGGTTCAATTCAATGTTACCAAAACGTCGCAGTTCACCATTTGCAAAGCTTCCACCCTGCGAGCATTTCATGATGTACATGTAGTCCGTAGGTTGGAGGCCAAATCCAAGGCTGTCCCAGTCTATGTCGGCTAACTCAATTGTTTCACTGTAGAATTCATGATGGCATAGTAAGTTACAAAATTTGGGCATCTCTGTGGGCAAGCATCAACTCAATAAAGATTTAATTATATATGGAGAATAAAGCTCAAGGGCTGATCAGTCAGCAATCTGAAACAGAGTCACAAGTAATTTTTAATTTATTAAAAAAAAAACTTATGTTCTGCCACGTACCAATGAAAGGCCATTAATGGCCTTGACTCCTTCACCCAAATCCATTCACTTCAATTTATAGGTGGAATAGCAAAGAAGAAAGGACGAATGAATGATGCTTATATGCACACCATTTAAAACCAGGCCGTAAAATAAGGTTAATGGTATATATTACAAGACATTAGACTCTTACAGTTTACGTGTATAGCATCTTTGTGTATAATTAAAGCTAGTTACGCAAGAAATATTCCTCAATGTGATTATAGAGAAAGCATTATATATCAGGGGGAAGATGTGGTTTCTGGTCAAAAGAGGGGGGGGGGAAGATGTGGTTTTCGCAGTCTTTTCCTAATGTCAAACTCAAGAACCATCCAATGTTTCAGTATGAACACCGAGACATGACATATGGCAGAATATCCAGGGTTCTAATGCAATTGGAAGTTGCGTGTTGTCAGAAAGGATAGGGTTCCATTTTTAAATTATGGGGCAATGTGGGAATTTAGCAAAAATGAAAAGGAAGGACCTGTAGGCATCAGATAGAGTGGCATGGCGTAGAGGCGAAGCGGCTTGTAGAACATTCTGAGCAGCAGGAAGAAATCGCATTTGGAGCTGAAAACATGAAATAGAACCACAAATTTCACGGGGAGTGAAAAAAAAAATTGTCTTTTTTCCCCTGAATCGGAAAAATGAATGAGCAAAAACAGAAGCTGAAAAAGAAAATAACTGGGACAGAAGGAAGAAGCAATGAAAGTAGACAAACGTGCCTTAGTAGAGAGTGGGGAGGAAGGCCTGAAGTAGGCGGTTGGATGGGAGAGCGGAGCATGAGATTGGCGGGAGGGGCAGATCGGGTAAATTTGTTGAATGCCCGGCCGGACGGCGGTGTTCTCCATCTCGCTCACAAAGACGATAGTTGAGGGAGACGGGATGCTGACACTGTTGTCTCAGTTCAACAATGCTATTGCTATTGCTCTAATGCTCTCCCTAAAGTCTAGACTCAGTCCAGCCCCGCCCCTTGTTTTCGATGTTCGGAGAAGCAGACGAAGCAGACGAATGACCAGCGGCGGAAACTGGAACCTATTAATAAGTTAAATTCTACTGAGAAGTTAAAATATTCACACGATTGGCTTGTGTCTGCTAAGTAGGAGATTCTTGTGGCATTTGATACGGGTGTGCGTGATGAGGATTTACTATCAAAAAATGGATATTGAACAAATACTCTGCATTAGGAATCACCTTTGTACAAAGTGAGATAATTATCTCACGTACCAGTCTTATACTACCTCGATCCTTAATATAAAACTCTATTTGACTTTTATTTTAATTCTAAATATAACATCCCAATCTACTTTGTCTTTCATATTTATAAATTTTTTTCTAAAGTAACCCTTCTAACAATAATAATTCTAGTCAATATATTTGATTAGTAAGGATATTTTAGGAAAGACAACACCTATTTAGGACAAATAACTAACTCAACTTACTTCTTTAATCTCCTCAAATTAGTCAATTGGCTCTTATAATTAGGACCGGAGGTAGTATTATCATAAAATTATTTTTCAAAAGTCAATCCAAATAATTAAAAATATTGAATGTGGCTGTATGCACTCCGGCAATGAAATAAGAGCATAAATGAATTAGTGGTATCAATTCCATCTCAGTATTTCAATTAGATTTAATATCATTTTGAGGTACATAAAATTTTATTTTATTTTAAATTTAATTCCTAAAATTTAAAATGTACGGTTGTTTCAGGGGTAAAAGACAGTGGTTTTTTTGGCCCAAGATTAAAGATAATGTTTTAGGGGTGAATCAAAATGAAAGTAAATGTTAAGAATTAAAATTAAAATGAGACTAAATTTTAATGACTCAAAATAACATCAACTTCCTAATCTAAACACGAACTACGGACTGTAATTCATTAAGGTAAGATTTCTCATTTTATTATCTCCGCAGGCGAATATAAAGCCATAAAGCTTATTAGCCGATAGTCTCAACAGCGTGCTTTTGCACATGTAAACGTTTCAAAAAGACATCAGTAGAAACTTTAAATTAATTAAACTAAATTAAACCCCTAAAATCAAAGAAATGACACAAACACTGCTTGACTGAAACGCAAATGAATGGTGAAGCAGATGATAGGTTAAGATGTGAGGTAAATGCTGTCTACTAGGATCCAACAGGGATGGGGGTCGCACGAGCCTGACCAATAAAATACAGAATCGGCCATTTGGAGAAGAATCCATGAGATCAGGATCCCGGGCAAAAGAATATTATACAGCGGATCCAAGCTCGTGAATCGTGATCCCATTTCCTCGTGAAGCAACACAATCTATGGTGGACACCCAAGGCATCAAATATTCTCCATGAGAGCCACCTCGTTTAAAAGGGCCGCTCAAAATGAATGGAAAAACTTGGAAAACGACCCAAAAAAAAAAAAAAAGTTAAAAATTACAAAATTTTAAATCAGGTTGGGTAACAATACTTTATTTGGTATTGATAACACTAAATTTACTAATAATAACACTTTATTTGATAATTTTCAGTTTTTTTTAGTTATCTTTCTAAAAAAATTCTCAATGCCTATGGTAAATAGCCACCCCGCTGGCAACTCAATTCTTTGGTTCATGTCTTCAGTAACAATACTCTTCCGGTTTTTAATATAAGACTCATTTAACTGATTTGATTAGATTAAAGAAGTTAGGTAAGTTAGTTAATTATAAAAAATGTGACACATTTTTCCTAAAACACCATAATCATCTTTCTTAATACCCTATTTTCCTCTTTTATTTGATTATGGTCAAGGGAGTATCCATAGGGGTACTTTAGAAAAAATTGATAAATATGAAAAATGAGTCTTATATTTAAGATCAAAACTAACTCAATAATTAAGTCCTATATTAAAGACAGGAGGAGTATAATAGTTTAATGCTTGCTGTTCAAAGGCCCGGCATGAGGACGAGCTGGTCCTTTCGTTTGTTTCTCTGCGATTTTTATTAAGTCTCCTTGGTCCTGAACCAGTATGACCCAAACGGATTGGGTGCAAACATACTTGGGCTTTTTCTGATTCCCAACGTGTCGCGTTAAGCAGAAAACCCACTTGGGCTGTCTTGCGGAATCCAGAATTATTTTTCTTCCCAGATTCTCGAAATAAGTCCCTCATGCTTTTATACATGATTTAATTGCTCATTTTTATCCCAATCAAAATTTTCTGTCATTATGTAACTAATGGATTTGTCCAGTTACCTGTGGATTGATCATGGATGCGATGTATCTACCTATGTTGAGCTTTTTGCAGCTAACTTAACCCCCCCCCCCAAAAGAAAAAATCTTTCTACCCGTTTTTTTAAAGCCGTGACTTTAATGTTGGGGCCTCGCATTAAGCATCGATGTACTAACAGAACTACCCCTCCCTTCTTGAGAAATTGTCCACATGGAAGAAATTCGTCCTGTTTCATGTTGTCGTGTACGCAAAAAAGTAAGTAAATTACTACTTCCGATTCTTAATATAAGATCTTGTTTGATTTTTATTTTGATTCTAAATATAAGACCCAATCTATTTTGTCTCTCATATTTATGTATTTTTTTCTCAAAGTAGTCCTTCTAACAATGGTAGCTCTAATTAATATACTTGATTAATAAGGATATTTTAGAAAAGACAACACTGTTTATTACAAATAACTAACTTAACTTTTTTTATTAATCTTCTCAAATTAGTCAACCAACTCTTATAATTAGGATCCACTGTTCGTTGTGGGACGGATGCCCAATTTTAGTTCTGCCTCATTAAAAGAGCCAAAAAAAGAGACATCATCCTAAGAGAATACAATTCCAATAAGCTGAATATATAAGAAGCTTCTCACTCAGAAATCAGAATCTACATTTTTTCTTTCGTGCCTGTGTGCGTGCGTGGTCCCCTGTGAAATACTATGGGAATAAAAATAGCTGCAGTCAGCCCATTTTCCTTTATCTGGAAAAAAAAAAAAAACAGGCATTCATCACCTTTGGAATGAGGAATATATTATGTTAGCTTTGGTTAGGAACCGAATGCATGCGCCCTTCGGACATTCGAAATTATATTTCCGGGCATGCGTCTCAATAAAATTACTGATAAACAAATATTTTTTCCTATTCATAAGTAATTTTTAGCATGATTTATTACAACGAAAAAAAATGCTAAATATCATTAATTTTATTTTAAAATTTAATAATTGTTCAACTTTACATCTATTAAATATGTAAAATTTTAATAATATCATTCACGAACAAGAAAAAAATTCCTCTGATTTATAAACAAGATTGGAAGAGTCAGGCCAAAAAGAAAAAAGATTGGAAAAGAAGAGGAACAATTCCACGGGCGGCTTTATGATCGGCATCGTTGCTTTATTCCTCCATCTCTACAACTCTGCATCCCATTTGGGGCACACATGGAACCATACGCACATCATGCATCCAACCTTTGAATAATTAATGTCATATTTTAACAATCCAAAATAGTAGCTTTCTTTCTATTAGTTCCAACATCCATAATTCGTTCGTGCTCAATTCATTTCCGCGGTTAAGTGACGGGGAGATATTGGAATCAGAACCGGAAACTTCAATGATGTCAGCAGTGACGTCCGGCCAAGAAACTTCTTGAAATGATGCTACAACCTGCGCATGGGTTTTCAATCCGCTGTTGAATATATATAGATACAACTTGACGGACATACGAGGATAAAAAGGATTCTTTTCCGACCGAATATGATCACGGATCGTCTCATGGGGAAATCGAATGTGCACAGATTTAGGGAGTAAAGCTTTGACAATTGCGGTATCATCAACCACATATTTAGAAATTAATGAGTATATATGGCGAAGGTTGAAAGGATGACACTAATAATATCCACGCGTGGCGCCACCATGTTTTTTTTTTTTTTGAGCAGCACGTGCGTGGTTCTTGTAGGACCACTTGCCCGCCTGATGGCCAGACAGACCCAAAATGTTATAACGAGATCCAAACGCATGCAGCAGTCAGTGCCAGTACACCTGAGAATGATCACCGGTAAGAAGTTAATTAATTTGGAGGTGCTGGTGAAGTTAATGCAGGAAGGCAGAGTACGGAGAATTGGTACCAGAAAACTAAGGCAGCGATGAGCAAGATCAATCAAAGGCAGTGCGTGTGATTGTGGAATTAGGAAAAGTAGGTAAGGGGCGGTCTTTTTGTGGTGCTGAACGAGTGATATGTTGAAGAAGAAAAGGTGGAGAAATGAACACCTGAAGGAGACCAATTAAGGTGATGAAGCGAAGTCGCCGCGGGATAGACTTAAAAATAATGATGGGGCCGGGTGGTAAGTTTGACGTTTTGTAGCGTGGCTGCCGCCACGGTCGAAGAGGACAACGTGTGTCACCTCGCGCTAATGGCGTGCATGTGTGGTCAAAGCCTTCTCCGGCAATCCATCTAATCCTCCGCATAATCTCCCTTTTAAGATTACAAAAGTGACCGCACCGCTTGAAAAAATCCAATTCTAATGATGAGCCTCATCATTTGTGCATCTCTACCCATATCAACACTCTGCCCGCCATCCACTGCTCAAACACCGCATATGTACAATCATTCATGCCGGTGGCATCTCCTCCCCCCCCCGGGGGGCAATAGCATACGTGTATATTATATATATATATATATATATATGTGTGCGCGCGTATTGAATTAGGCACCTAGGATTCATATGATGTGGTTTTAGTAATGTTAGGTGTTATAAATGTTGGTATATTTCAGGGAGAACAATAAACATGGATAGGTGGGAACAAACAAACCAGCAGGAGGATATGATCCAGTGGGTGAGAAGTTGACACTTCAGAGCTGGGTTTGGGTGAAACCTGGCATCTATGAATAGGAAACACAGGGGTCCATTGGACCTGAAGGTGATGAGTTTATTTATGGCGCAGGTGGCCATTTCGACTGTTTTTGCCTATCACCCTCGTCAACGAGAGTGAGTTTGTTCCCCCACCCCCCCCCAAAAAGAAAAATTATTCACTGACTACTTATATTTCTTCTAACCCTAAATATAAAAAATTAGATAAATAATTTATAGAAAACAAAAC